ACTACGAAACAATATTGAATGTACCATAAGGGAAAGAAGTGTACAACTACGAAACAATATTTGAATGTATCATAAAGGGAAAGAGTGTACAACTAACGAAACAATATTTGAATGCTACCATAAAGGGAAAGAGTGTACAACTACGAAACAACATTTGAATGTACCATAAAGGGAAAGAGTGTACAACTACGAAACAATATTTGAATGTACCATAAAGGGAAAGAGTGTACAACTACGAAACAACATTTGAATGTACCATAAAGGGAAAGAGTGTACAACTACGAAACAATATTTGAATGTACCATAAAGGGAAAGAGTGTACAACTACAAAACAATATTTGAATGTACCATAAAGGGAAAAAGTATACAACTACGAAACAATATTTGAATGTATCATAAAGGGAAAGAGTGTACAACTACGAAACAATATTTGAATGTACCATAAAGGGAAAGAGTGTACAACTACAAAAAATATTTGAATGGACCGTAAAGGGAAAGAGTGAGAGACTGTTAATGAATTGATAACGGTGGGTCCCATTCTTACAACAACAAAAAAAATCTCGTCGGACAATGACTGATGGCTGGTACTAAAATATCTCGAGATATAATAATTTCTCAAGTCTTCTTCGTAGGAGGCAAGAACACTATTACGGCATTCCTCTATAAAAATATTTTAATAAAGGGGCGCTGCGGGCCAGGAATAAAAAATTCTGGAGGGAGCTGTGGTGGCTCTTGTTCGGTCTGTTGGAACCAGGAATCTACTTGACAGAAACAAACAAACAAAAAACATTCAATGCTTAATGGAGTTAAATATGTTAAAAAAGAAGCAAAAACCGTATAATAAAACAGGGTTAGATAATGTTCCTTTTCTTCTATCTTTTCTTATTAAATCCATAATGGCCTCCTTAGCTGGTAACTTCATACCCTGCTTTGTGGAAGATAATGATGGACTTATTTAACTGATTAAGTACTTGTGCAGTTAAATTTAAAGCAGAAAGTTTATTAAAAAAAAGTAGAAATGTGCCCTGTTTCAGGGGCTTTTTTATTCTCTTTTTCGGGCCAAAAATTCAAAATAAGATATCCCATGTATACTGTCGGACAGTCTCCAGTTGTCATACTAAAAACTACAGTAATCGAGCCAGCCAACGGTTACAGACATAATGGATCATCTTTATAGTAAGATTATGATCATAATCTGTATTCATATAGTGAAAATGTTTGCTATTCTTATTAGAAAATATTATTTTCCGTTTCACCGACTTTACTGAATTAATATCTTTATAACAAAGATAACTATTACAGAATATCTTATTCGAAGGCTATTGTGATTGTTAATTTCTTGTTAAGGCATTTACAAGCACGTAATATCAACCTTTAAGCACCCTTATCCAACCTTGGGCTCAGACTTTGATGTTATTTCTCTCAGATCCTTGGGCCGGGCGTGTCCTTAGTGGTTAGCATGTTGGGTTGCGTATCTAAGGGTCTGGGGTTCGAGATGGGATGCCGTTGATTTATAAAAGTGGTAGTAACTCATGTTATTCGGTCCAAAGAGCCGGACAAGACCTTTGTGGCGGAGGGTGCTGTTAACTCTGAATAGTATCTTAAAAGTAGGAGCAGCTAAACCATAACAGACCGTTTAGCCCACGTGCGCATAAAGTGGCGTTCAAGTTCAAAGTCCAAATTTCTAATAAGAAAATATATTCTTTGTTCGTTTAAGTTCATTCAGATCGCAACCTTTTCAAATTGTTTTGCTTAATAACATGATCAATATTTCATTAAAAGGCCTAAAAAGAAACAGCTTATATCAAGTGTTTTGTTTGTTTGTTTGTTTTTGAATTTCGCACAAAGCTACACGAGGGCTATCTGCGCTAGCCGTCCCTAATTTAGCAGTGTAAGCCAACTCTTGGGCTACTCTTTTACCTCAGATTGCGAGTCGAGTGCCTTAACCACCTGGCCATGCCGGGCCCAAGTGTTTTGTACTAAAATATGATTAAAGAGTCTCCCCCCCCACCACCACCAACAGATGGATCTAGTAACAATGTTTGATGTATAAAATTCATTATTTTATTATTGTATCTGTTACAAAATACTTGTGAGGTTTTTGTTCTGAAAAATTTTGTTATTTCATGGTTTTAATTAGTTACATACTCAGCAAGAAACATGTTGAAATATTGTTATAACGTCAAAATGTGGTATGTTCAACTTATTTCTTAATATCTTATAAACTATTTTCATAAAACTACATTTAGTGTTAAATCTAATTTATTTTGTATAAAACTAAATTGTTCTCTGATTTGATAAAATATTTGTGTTTGATATATAGAGAAATGTACGAATTAAAATGAAAGAAAATCAATTAAAAAGATAATGACGATAAAATATTTATTATGGTTGTCTTAAAAAATGTCGTATTCTTGCACTGTAAATAGCGTGAAGTATTTTTGTATTAATTAAAGTTCTTTTAATTCCTCGTCTTCTGCCACTTCTCTCAATATCCTTACTATCTGTCTCCTTTCTGTCCTGTTCTATTCAAATTTCTGCTTCCTTTTGGTTTCCCCATCTTCCACTCCTCCGGCCGGAACGATGTACAATATCCAACTGGACTCCGGTCCATCGGAACACCTCTAACCTGTGTGTAGTCTTTCTTCGCATTTTTATGTCATTAAACTCGGAGGAGAACCCCATGGGTGCATCGACAGAGAGGAAACCGCCACCCACAGGTGAGCCTTGTCTTACATTCTTGTACACAATACCATCTGGTTAATTTTTATTAATGTTTAAAGGAGATGTACTTTGTTCTGATCGAGTGATGTTTAACTTTCAACCAGTAGAAACTTGTTTATGTTCATCATTTTTATGCTATTGCTAGGTTTATATTCTGGTATTCTATTGGTAAGTATGCATTTCATTCTTACTGGAAAACGTATCGTCAATTTCCTTTTGGTCTGTTTTTAAACATGTATTTTATAATAGAAGTTTGACATTACTTCTTTTTTACATATATTTACTTTCTAAAGTGTCAAATTAGGTTATTGCCTGTCACGTAACAGTTCCACTACTATTAATAAGGAAAGAATAAAGTTCAAATAGTATAAAAATCTCCTTACCTTAACGACATCAGTAAGAACGAAAGTTAATAAAAGATTTAGAAATGATCTTAAGATAAGTCATTGCTATAGATTAGACTTTATCGCCAGATGCTAAATAATCTTAAGATAAGTCATTGCTATAGATTAGACTTTATCACCAGATGCTAAATAATCTTAAGATAAGTCATTGCTATGGATTAGACTTTATCGCCAGATGCTAAATAATCTTAAGATAAGTCATTGCTATAGATTAGACTTTATCGCCAGATGCTAAATAATCTTAAGATAAGTCATTGCTATGGATTAGACTTTATCGCCAGATGCTAAATAATCTTAAGATAAGTCATTGCTATGGATTAGACTTTATCGCCAGATGCTAAATAATCTTAAGATAAGTCATTGCTATGGATTAGATTGCTAAAGGCCCATGTGGACTTATAACACTAAAAACCTGGTTTCGATATCCGCTGTGGGCGCAATACAGGTAGCCCTTTGCGCTTTGTGCTTAACACAAAAAAAAATGAATATTTGTGCTTGCATGGATGATAATATACCAAAATTCACCTGTGATGATGAAAAGTGCAAGGTGAATGTGCGAAAACACCCTACATTATTTCAACCTTAATTCCACCTATTGGACCCCCGGTTGCTCAGTGGGGCTTATAGCGGGAAAAATCAGGTACATATAGCCCATTGTGTAGCTTTATGCAGAACAACAAACAAAATCTATTTGTTTTGATTTTTCTTCCTGTCATATGAATGGCTGTCCAAATCAGACTTGAACGTATATTGGTTGGAACTATTATCAACTTCTATATAGTCTTTTCGTTAACCCTTGTTTGGATATTACAGTAAATAGCTTTTCAGTAATATGAATTTGGAAGCAGGAAGAAATTAATTCAGCTAGAAACATTATTCAGCAGTGAATTCGCTTATGGACGCGAGTACAAACAAACTCGTTGATTGGATGGCCTTCTTGGAAGTGGAATAGGTATTTCAATGTGATAGCTTGAAACAATAGCTTTCTGAGATGGACGGCCCTAGCGATAGATTAAGACTTTAACGTTTTCTGCTGGTAACAAGATGGGTGTTTCCTTTTAATACATTGAAACTTCATATTCTTCTTATGGTAATGAGATAGGTTTCCCCTTTTAGAGATTGAAACTTTAATAGTCTTCTGATGGTAATGAGATGGGTGTTTTGCTTTAATAGATTGAAACGTTATAGTCTTCTGCTGGTAATATAGGTGTTTCCTGTTGTAGATTGTCATTTGTTAGTTTTCTCCTGGTAAC